TGCAAAACATTATGAAAACTTGCAAAATCAATGCTTTTTTGTTTAAGACTGCATGGTTTTATATAATTAGCGAATGAGGCCAGTTTTATGCAGTACACCTTGTAGTATGAATTTTATTCCAAAGCAACACTTCATAAGTTCAGATACATATACAAATGTATTACGGGTTCAATAAGCACTATTTTTTCTTGTTAATTTCCTGTCTGTTTTTACACGTCCATTTATTGGAAACTTTTTTATACAAATTCTCTTATATAATTGTTAGTTATATTGTATAGTATCTATATGTGTGTAATTTACATGCATATACAGTATCAATGTAAATAAAATAATTTTATTATTATTATTATTATTAAGCATATATTAAATGTATTTACGATTACTGCTGTATTCTTTTATTATATTTATGTTGTTGTTATTTTATGACTTATAGTGCCAAACATACATTTATTAATTCATCACTTATATTGTGCCTTTTTCTTCTCTTTCCTGCTCAATTGGTAATTTCAGGGATACAGTTTGTTTAATGTTATCCTTGTATGTTAGAATTGTAATTGAAAATATGGTACAATTCTAAGTGTGCTACTTAAAATTGCTGAAAGATTTTTCAACAGCAATTTAATAGGACAGTGATTTGACAGTAGTGTTCAAAATTCATAATTGTTTTAAATAATGTCATATGCTTCACAGGGTTGAGAATAAGATATTTATATAAATTATGTAAATAAGACAAGAAATTTCCATCTTTATGATCCAAAATTATTATTCTGATTAATTATTTAACTGTCATGTCTAATCTTCTTTAGACATATGACCATAAACTTATTAATAGAAATTTTTAAATGTATTTTTGAAATAATTTAATGAGAAATTGAAACATTTTAACTGTAAAAAATGAATTTTGAATTAAACTTTATTTAGTAATTTATATAAAATGATTATTTTAATTCACGATCTGTGTTTAGATCAATGTTTATGTAAATAGTCATAGTATTTCCTCAGGAAGTAGAATTTCAGATATTTAATAGTGTTAATTATAAGTATTATTTTAGTAGTGTTTTAATCTTTTTGCATAATTTTTAACATCATAATAAATCATATAATAAATATCTATGATTCAAGCTAAAAATGTACAGTATAATCATTCATTGTCTGTACATTTATTCTAGATGTAAAGCTGTGGTTATATAAATGCAGAAAAAAGTAAAAAGAATTAGCCTGTTTTGGTTTGGCTGATTTATCTTTTATTTTTGATGTGCCAATATTAATGTACTTATTTATATTCTGTATGTTTATAATTTTAAATATTTGCACTTACAAAATGTATCAGCACTTAATTATTCAAACTATAGAGTACAAATGGAAAGAGATTTTTGAAAAAGCCATGATTTTATATGTAGCCAAATATTGAAAATGTTGAGAAAATTGGGGAACAAACATCTTTGTTAATTAGTTGCTGTAAAGTGAAAAAAATTTGTGTGATAAATTTTTCTTGTAATAAGAGAATCAGATTTTTTTAAAAAATAATTCTGACAATGGACTGAAAAAAATAATCATGAAATTGCTTAATTGCATTCAGTCCACTGTATAAAGCAATATAATATTTTAAAACAATTGTATACTTCACAATGCCATGATTTAGTGATTTAAAAAGCATTTAGCTAGAATTTAATTGAAAGTTGTGATAAAGAATATCATCAAAATGAAATAAAAACAATAAATTAATAACTAGTCAGCAAAACTTTTGATTTTGATTTTATTTTGCTGAAAAGTTATTTTAAATCTTATACAGTTTTTCTCTGTTACCATTGTTTTATTTATGATATATATATATATATATATATGTGTATATTTTTCTTTTTAATGTGTGTATGTAGATAGGAAAGTACTATTTTAAAAACTGTAGTAATCATGTTAATGAGTAGTAGTCATTCTTCAAGATAACAAAATATTTAGTAAATAACAAAGGACTTGCTTATCAGTAGATGGTGTTTCAATGAATATAACCAAACCAGTACCTGATATCAAGAAAATAATAAGAGAGCAGAGTTTCTAATTTTTAAAACCCTGTAATTTTTCAGGAAGTGCCTATATGTTTGGGGTAAAGTAACAAACTAGAAACTCATCTCTTCATCCATGGTTTATTTTCAGCATGTATAAATTTAGATCCTTTCCACATGCAAACAAAAGTACAATTTTACATTAATATATTTTCTCTCTCTCTGTAATTGTGCACAGAAAAAATTATTTATTTTTAATACATGCAGTCTGTTTTCACCAGTATTTTTAAGTTATCAAATTCTTCATTGCAGTAGCTTATATTTTTCATGCAGTTAGTCTAATAAATCACCTAAATGTTTATCTAAGTAACTCTATGTAAAGCAGTGCAGAGTGCATTAGATGGACAAATCTTGTTATGCAAAAAGACTTTCATAATAGTCAAAAATCTATTAAAATTAATGGAAAAACTTGTTAATTAGTATTGTCTAATATATATCTAGTAATTTTAGCATTGAAATTCAATATTAAATTATTAGACAAATGTTAGACAATGTTAAATTCATAGTGAATGATATGATTTCTTGAAAGATTTTAATTATAGATAGGAGTTTGTCTAAAGCACTCAAAGTATGCTACTCCTGTATTGTAACGTAACGGATATTTCATGTCTTGTTTAAATCAATTACGAAAGGATTTGACAGGAAATTGTCCGATCGCGGATAGTGTCCGTGAGTTTGCCATGTATATGTGCCATTTATCGTCATCAGTCATGGTTGTATAACCGAGGAGGTTCATATTTTGTCTTAATAGAAATGTAATTTTTAGCAGATTGTGTATTGAAATGACTTCCACTGTATTAAAAAGCAATCCTCCTAAGAATTTTGTGTCTGTCTTGATTTTTACTGACTAAAAATTTCATCACTCATCACCATTGATGCAAATCTTTATTCCAAATTAAAATAATCATGTATTCATACACGATAATCAGTGGTCTGGGACTGATCTGGGAGGACGATGTAAACAATACAATCGGAATGAAGAAAAAATTAAGCGTACCATAAAGTGTTATTTATAAACAATGTAATTACAATCCTAATACAACTTATAGTAGGAATTCAAATTTTCTAGGTTCTTTTCGCTAGCTCGTTTATAATTTCATTTTTATGTGTCGATTCCGCGCGACACGTCCGAACATGTAAGCTGAACAATAGTGTGAGGGGAGTGAGTAATCAAGAGTTGCGTGGCGCTCAAACAAAAAACGAATCAACGAGATTTGAAAATCGCGTAACTCCGGGTTCGCGTAAGTCGAGGTATTACTGTACTGGCTGAATGGAGAGCATTGTCAGTCCATTTAACCTGTATTGCGATGTTGGACTTCGGAAGCAAGCTTTAATTCTTAAATCTTTTGGCTATTGCAGTTGACAGGAATAGTTGCAAGGATTTGCAGCAACATGAATATGTTGGTAAACATTTCCTTATTGCATGTAGCTGCGCATCCATTGCTGTGTTATATGGAAGATTTTCTACATTTCTCATTCTCTAATTTGAATTCGGCAGTCATGTCTGAGAAGGTTCGTTGAGATCGGTAGCGTACGATCTTAGAAGTGTTAAATTTCCCTTTCTTCCTCACTGGAAAGAAATTTGAAGATGGAAGTAGTACTTGGAATCCATTAAATATATCACTGTTTCCGAAATGGAGCATAGATTCGTTCGAAACAAAAAGTTCTATAAACGGAATTTTAAATTGTGATACAATAGTAATCTTCAGGCGCATGAAGGTATGATTCGGACGCTTTTGCCTGCCTGTAATTCTGGGAATATTCACGAAACCTCCAAGCCATTCGCTTCCTCAAAGATCTGGTGAAACTGATTGTCAGCATCATCCGTAGAGTTTCCTCCGCGTAGTAGTCGCCATATTTAATTAAAGAAGACTAAAGGTTGGTATTTGTTTTTTGTATTTACTAAGCGGAAGAGCAATTCCGAACACTTGATAAGCAATGATAGTAAAAATTGCGTTCTTTAGTGGTGTTGCATCTCATGATGTATCTGCATCTCCAATTTACAATTTTATTTAGACTCCAAAATTGGCATCAAAAGCTCAAAGAAATGGTATCTTTTAATCCAGCGTGTCTTACAGCTTCTTTTGAAAGTTTTAACGTTTATGGTGGAAATCGAAAATCAAACATCTTTTCGTTTTAGTGGACTAAAGAAATCGACCACTTTACGAATAACGCCGATAGTTTCGAATATCTACAACTTTACAAACCTTGGACACTGCCGCTCATTCAAATTGCAAGTTGATAACCCGAGAAACATGTACCCCGTTGAAGGCACTGGGCATCGCTGTAGCCCCATCAAATCCTTGACCACGAAGATATGCCGTGTCGATGCCGAACGATCAGAGACTGCTCAAAATTAGGTCAGATGGTCTTGCCCTGGTTAAATTTGATATATGAACAAAATTCAGAAAATCTTCGCAAAGCGTTTTTATTTCAGTATTAACATATCTGGCACATCTGGAAATAGTGTTGCCACCTTTTGAAAATCGCTGACCCGGACTGCAGATTAAGTTTGTTCGAACAGAAGTTCCTGACGCATGCGCAATGTCATTTTACAATGCGAAGAATAATATGCATGGCGGTTCTAAATCAGTTACAGTTAGGGACTACGAACTTGCGTAAGAGTAACCTAAATTAAGAAAGAACAGGTACAGATTGACTTAGCTCTATTGGATATTGGAGAGACGTGTAAGATCGTACATGCAAAACAAAAAATAGAAAAAAAAAGGTCGACAGGTTGTGTGCCACACGTTGGCGTAAACAGGCTAACATGGCAGAATTGCAGATGAGTTTCAGTGAGTGTGAGTTCTTTCATAAATAGTGTAAATTTAGTAAAAATATTTGCAATAACTTTGTTTCATCGTAATTTCACAATTTCTACGAAATTCCCGGACAAAATTAATAGTTCACCCGGACAGTCCGGGAATTCACTCACTGTCCGGGTGAAAACCGGACGGGTGGTAACACTGTGCGGAAACTTGCTGAATGCCAGATATATCGGAAATTCAGTCTAGTAATTAGACTGACTCCCCATCGACAAATAAGCGTCCCTTATATACCCGTCAGACAAATGTTTCCAATACATCTAGAACAGTGATTCTCAAACTTGAGCTACCGCCCCTTCAGTTCCATAAACTTATACCCAATGCCTCCTAACCCATTTCTCCTTGTGTAAGAAAGGTTTAGAAATATTCTTAGAAAACTTTTCTATAAACCTCATACTTTGTATCCTTACCGTACATTGTTCTCCACATCTAGAAACCATTAAACGCGATGTTTCTTCTTACCCGTTTTAACAGAGGAAAGTGAATGGTTGTCTATTCTATTCTATTCTCTGTTCATATGGAGTATGCAGCACCTGAGACTATGACTCCGACGAAACGATGATGGACGCATGCGTCCGATGAGCCGACCGAAGCTTTTCGTGAATGGTTGTCAGTGACCCCAATCCTTACCTATGGTCACCCTGCCTCAACGTTCCCTGCCGCCTACTTGCTTCTTTTTGCCCCTGCTATATTTACTTACTCCCCTCACCCCATGTTTTAGAAAATTATCGAATCTAATACCGATTACGCTCCCAGAATAGCAGAATTATGGAGATGGTGCTATTGAATTTTATTGTTGAAAAATAACAAAACTTCTAACATTAAATATTTTATTACGACATCATATTATTTCACATATTTTTATTTGGTGAAATTTCCTCTAACAGTTTTTCTTCAAGTAGATGCGTCAGACAAAGGGAACGTTTTTTTGAAATACCATCGTTTCCAGACCAATCTAATTCGTCCGGTAAAGCGAAATCTTCTACAGTCAATAATAACAGTATTGTTCGATCTCGATCGTAAATTACATCATTAAATAATAGATGTTTTACGTATCGAGGGAGACAGATTGGTCCTCGAAATACTTCTCCCGTGATCTTTGTTTTAACTTTTCCCTGGATTAGTATAGCATCTAATATTTCATCACTTAAAACCATATCATGATATCCATAAAGATCGGGAATGATAGCCTTTTCCAGAATTTGCTTCAATTTCTCAATGGACAAGAACTTATAATAGGGATTACGAATCAACAGGGGCAAAGCTACTTGCAACGCCACGAACCTCCATATTTCGTATTGCAAACTTGGAGGATCTGAAAATTTTCTAAAAGAGTATCTCATTTTACTGAGTGATATGATTATGACAGTTACGTCTGTTTCGCATATTGTTTCGGTGACAGATTTTGCATTGTTTAAAATACCGATTAGACCTAAAGTTTCGCAGACGGACAAATAATCTTCAAAAGAACCATTATCATAAAAATATAAGAAAGAATTTGTAAATGGTAATAAGTTACTTTGTTGATATTGACTTGTTCCTATGACTTTAACGATCCCAGATACGATTATGTAGATATTTGAAGCATATTTATCCAATTTATGTAGAATTGTTCCCGAGGTAAACGTCCATACATCATAGTCAAGTTTGCAAAAATGTTCAAGTTTTTCCGATCCTGTAATCCATTTAACGTTTTTCAGAATAACTGTTGGTTTTACGATAAAATTTTTATACGATGGTATTGCTAATAAATTCCTCGTTTTATTTTCGATAATATTTAATAGCTTAATGTATTCATATTCACCCAAAATTCCATCTTCTTTCATTTGAATTACTGCTTGCAAGCCATTGAACAAAATTCTTCGAGATGCTAATCTTCTTTTAGCTGCAATAATCGAAACTGGATACATATGTTGCATTTCCATTAATTCTCTTAAAATAATCCGCTTATTTCTATTTATTTTTTCTTTTAAAGCATTGACCAACTGTGTATATTCTAGCATAAATTCTACTTTTTTAATATTTTCTTCTTCTGCTAACAGAAAACAAAGGGCCATATCGAAATTTTGATGCATAGCAGAATTTATACTAAAAACAGCAATTTCGTTCACGCAAATGCAGATTAATTTAACTATCAGAATTAAACGAAACATAACAAAATAGTAGAAATATTCAAAGAATATCATATATTTTTGATTATAATAAAGGAACCATTTTATAATTAACAAAACATTAACCACTATCAGAAATATACTTAATTGATTAATGTGGCTCTGTACGTAAGTTTTGAAACCAACAATTCGTATACGGAGAAAGGAATCCGTGATTAATACAAGGATTTGTGCGCAAGGAATAAATATTTTTGTCGACTTCTGAATGAATTTCAAACTTTTAAAATTTGTTATGGAAGTAATCAAAACCATAATAAATGGTAAAATAAGTAAAACGTGCAAAATGTATTCATAATTAGTAGAATAAATCATTCTTCTTGCAGATTCATTTTTACGTTTTCCTTTATCTTCTATTATTTCTTTCCCTATATATCTGTCGATCGATCTAATGTATCTTTTAGCATAATCCCCTAATAAATCGTATAATTCGTTTCGGATCATAAATTTTATGACAACAGTCGCGTCTAAATATCGGGGATTTTTTCTAGAAAGCTCTCGTGATGCCAATGATGCCATTAATCTTGCAGTTTCTCTCCGGATTAATCCCATGTTGAATTGTTTCCAATAATAAATTTTGGCCGATTTTAGAGCTCGAATATTCAATTCTTTTAATAACTCTTCCTGTTCGTCTTTAGTGAGAATTACGGGTTGATTGTGAAAGCAATCCGAACATGTGATAGTTCGAGGTTTAAAATAAGAAATGGCCTCTAGCTGATCACTTGTACTTTTATATGGATCTTCGATGTAAGTGTGATGTTTTATCCATTGCCAATTTGCAACCGACATAAATTGATCTAAATGTTGTACTTTAATTGATTTGGCAATTATTTTACGCAAATGCGTTACAGCATGAATCATCCTGGCTCTTCCCGGTAATGAAACAGTGCTCACACCTATGATATTTAGTAAATATCTTGCGCTGATATGATTGAAAAGTGTTAAAAACGAAATTCCGCCGACTTGAAATAGCATTTTTCCAATTCGATAATCGTCAAAACCGTAATAGAAAGATATGTACAAACTTAATAATAGAGAAACAATTCCTCTAGTCGAAACCCATATTAAAACGATGGTATCTTTCCATTTTAAATCGTATCCAAACTTCTTAAACACTAGATAAAGTATTAAGATCGTTGCCATCCTAATGAGTTGAAGTAAAATATAATTTTGAATTACCCAAATATCTTCGGAGGTTGTAGATTCGATTTCAAACCTAATTACTGGATTTAAAAAAAGCTGAACTATCAATATTCCAATTATGATGAATATGAACGTATCAAAAATGTAATTCAACATTTTCCAGTAAGTTTTCACTGCTTCTAATTCATCAGGGGGTAAGCTATCTTTGCCTCTACTAATAATAAATCCTGCCACAAAAACAGCTAAAAAGCCATTTCCGTTTAAAATATCTTCATTAAAGAAAAATACCACGTATGGTACCGTTAAATAAATGGTTATTTCAGTGATGGTGTCATTTTTAGTCATGTGTAATCCAAAATTTACTATTTTACCGAAAACGAATCCTGATAACAATGACTTTAAGATGATTTTGACGGTTATAAAAAATATATCTTCGGAATTACAACTTTCATTCATAATTATATTATATAAATTTAATATTAACAATGCAATCGTATTGTTAATAAGTCCTTCTCCTTCTAATATGGTGCACATGTATTTCATTTCTCCACTTTCGTTCTTTAGAGTGTGACCAATAAAAAAAGGATCTGTAATAAACACGACGGCGGCAAATCCTACAGTAATTAATTGATTCCACATATAAATAGGATGTAAATAAAGTGCAAATATATACATAATACAAGTAGACAAAATAAATCCTAGAATTCCTAGAATTACACAACAGTTAGCTACAGAAAGGAACAAATCAGTTTCTAACATAAATGTCGATCCGAAAATTAAGTATGGCAGAAATAGCTGTAAAATGGTTACAGGATTAAGTAGCACGTAACGAAAAATATCATTCGTTTTTAATCCGACATTTATATTTTCGATAATCAAGCCGAAAATTATTCCCTCAAAAATGAATATTACTGTATGAGGAAGGTTGACGATATTTTTAACCAAGGCAACAATCAAACAACTTAATAAGAGCACAATTGCAATTAGAATAACATTATAAAAAATTTTCCAGTTTTCGTCTGATATTGGTTGAAAACAGCTTTGAGTTATTATAGATTCCGTTCCTTTCAATGACGAATTCATTGCGAAAATTATTCTTTTTCACTTCTATTTTTCATTTCTTTGAATAATATCCAGTCTAAGTTGGAAGTAAGTAAACATTTTAATAGGAAATATTTAATAAAAAATAATATATATATCAAATAAAATAAATTAAGCAAAGTAAATGTTAATACTAATTTAAATATTTATTTTCATTATTGAAAATTAATAATGGGTTTTATCTGAATGAAAAATCGTTCATTTATTAAAATCATTCGAAAAATCTCAATGAGATATTAGCTTCTTTTTGGTACATTTTAACCTTTTTAAACGATTTTTGTTTAGTTTAGTTATAAAAATTCCTTAGTCTGCAATTGAAATTTCAGACAAAAAATTATTTTCCCGTAACTGAAATAATAATCTCCCATTTGAAAATATGCAATTGAGCAGTATTTTTCAAGGCGGTACAGTATTTAGAAATTATTTACATTGTTAATAACGAAGTCTAAGAATAGTTTGAGAACTTTTATATTTATATGATTGATGCGGAAAATTTCAAGCAGTTATAAGCAACCCGCGGTCCCCGTGTTTTTGGTGACGTAATTTTTCCCGTTTTCAGTCTCCTGCCATTATGCAACCCTAATTAAGCCGATCGATATTCGTGATGAAAACATTCGGTAATTATCTGTTAACTGGGCGCCAGTCATTTTACTACTATTTTTAGCGAAATCGATATTTTATTTCGTAATTCACACGTATTTAATATTACAATGAATATGTTTATAAGGTTTATCTGTAAAAAATGTGAAATTAAACATCGTTTTTTCTAAAGCTGGATTGAATGGAGTCCAGTTAACAGAAAACAACTTGACCAATGAAAAGATGAGAATAAATTGTATATTACTAGTTTGCTTATCATTAACATGTGTTATTTCAGTACCTAGTGTAATATGTTACTCGGTAATATGTAATATTACATATTATAGTATAATATGTAATAGTACTCGGCAGGCTTAATTAAAACTTGTAAGAAACTTTGTAAGAAAAAATATATGCGGCCCGTGTACAGAAAAGATTGTTCAACACTGATATAAAGTGTATTCTTTTAGTGTTATATTGCAAAAATTTAGCTGAAAGAAGAAATTTTAAATTTTAATGATTCGCTTATTTAAATCCTTCAAATGCACTCATCATCTAAATATATAAAATTGCTTGTCCTGACTGACTGACTGAATGAATGACTCACTCACTCACTGATTCATCATCGTCTAGAGCAGACCGCTTAACCTAGAGGTGAAATTTGGTAGACAGTTAGGGTACGTCATGGAAATGCACACTAAGAAGGGATTTTTCGAAATTCCTCCGCGGGGGGAGGAAGAGGATTAAGGTTTAACCGGAAGAACGGCTTCTACTGCACTATTTTAGATGCGATTTTTTGTTTTTATCTGCGTTTTAGTAGGCTATGCCATGGCAATGCACACTAAGAAGGGATTTTTCGAAATTCCCCCACGGGCGGGAGAGGGAGAGCATTTAGTCTCCATCGAGTACTTAGGTGTATTAAATTAATAACATTTCAGACATTGTTGTAAATATTTTTATCTATTTCGATTTTAAAAATGTTCGAACCGTTTTAAATTCGAATTTGTTATTGCATATTGGTTCGATTATAGAACGATTGTAAACGTTTCAGAAAATTGATCAAATTGAAAATAGTTCGTTTGATTCTCGGCAATTCTCATCATTCTCAGTGGTAGGTGTTATATAACGATTACTATGGTTGTTGAAATACTGAATATAAATGGGGTTTGCTTGCAAAATCTGCGCGGGTAAAGCCGCGAGTAACAGCTAGTTAATTATAATTAGAAGTTACAAAATTCAAAATAAGAAATAAGAATAATTCCTCTATAGACAAGTTTTTAAAATTATTATGTAATTAAATAGAGATAATGTGATTTTAATAAATTCTAAACTTCAGAATATGGGGACCGCATAGCCGAGAAGTTTGGGTGTCATCGCTCTAGGAGACCCGGAACAAATCCGGACAAATCCTAGGAAATTTTTGGGATTGTCCTTCCAGATATGTAGGACCCCGTTTCCCCATTTTGGACTATCCGAAACCGTAATGGGCTCTTAGTGCCCACCGCGCAAAAAGAGTTAAAAAAACATAATTTGAAAGCATTCGAATTTATGTTAACTTTTTCACAAAACATTTGAACAAATTATTCTGATTTTGAAAATTGAATTTTATGATAATTTTGATATTTTGATAGTCATATTTTTAATGAATTCTAATTTTTAGAATTGTAAATTAGCCAATTAGTTATAATATTTTAAAATTCTTGAAAACATAAATTAAGTATTCATTTCATCGAAAATCTAATCTAATTGCTTTTCAAATTTATTGATTAATTGTGAGAAAACTTAAAATAACTAAAATGAATTGTAAAATTAAAAATTTTACTTATTAAAATGTACGATTTTTAAGAATTTTCATGTAAATTATAAAAACTTACGAAATCTCTCATTTTTCAGTTGAATTTAGAATAATGTTCGAAAATACGAATAATTCTAAATCAATATTCGTGATATCGCATATCTGTAGAAATTATGGTATTTGTCATTAATATTTTGAAAATTCCTTTAAAATAAATAAAAGTACATGATTTATTTTGATGTGTCGTATTAAGTTTTTCATCAAAATAATAAATAATATATATTAATATTATGGTATTTTCTTCGTTCCTCTCCGAGAGCACTAACAAGTACTGTAAGTTGAAAGAGATCCTTTTTTCGTACCCATTGTGGATTTGCCAGATACACAATAGAAGTAGCCGGTTTTTAAACTCTTCTGCCCTGTGGGCACTAAAAGGGCCTTTTTTAGCAAGCCCATTATGGGTTCGGCCAGGCTCACAATGGGCGGCCGGGTGATGAGGGACGGACCAGACATATCCAGACGGACTACCCCTGTAAAATTCCTCGAGATTTTTCGACCCTTACCAAATTCGATTCCGGGTCCCCAGAGAAGTAGGCTGCTCGGCCATCCGGCCATCTAAGAAGCCGGGTGGTGAGGACCTTTTAACAAGCCATTACGGGTTCGACAATGCCACATTGGGAGCGGCCGTAGTGATGGATGGGGCCTGACCTATTCAGACAGATAACCCATGAAAAAATACCTGGGAATTTTTACGACCGTCTGGATTTGTTCCCGGATCCCTCAGTTTTAGGCTGAGACCTTAACCGCTCAGCCATCCTCTTGTATGCCCATCAGTGGCCGAATACATTCGACCACTGATGGGCCACTGGTCCACCAAGTATTCGGTGGTTTTAACCACCGAATACTTGGTGGACCAGTTAAAACCACCGAATACTTGGCAGGACGTGGGTTTGCACTTCACCAATGGACTGGTCACTTTGTCAGATTTTCTTCGCATGTCTAATACCTGTGTAGATGCCAGTTTCTTATAGAAAAGCGTACTGGGAAGCACTCCTCTTTGGCAGATTGTTCGTGTATTATGTTGCCTTATACCAGGGGTGGCGAACCTTTTTGAATCCACGTGCCATATAGTGAGTATAATTATCTTTAAAAATATTTATGCATGCGGAAGTTTTGACTTTGAATATTTAAAGAACTGAAACGAACATGATTTAATTGGAATAAAGAAGCTGATTTTTAATCAGCTTTTTTTACATTTATTCGAATTAAAGGATGATCAGATGAAAAACCGAAAGAATTATTTTAAAAAGATGGGTGAAAAACCACAATCGTATGACACGTTACGTGTTAGTTGATTCTCCCAACGTGCCACTTTGGGTACGCGTGTCATAGGTTCGCCACTCCTGCCTTATACTATCAATGTTATAATCCTACAACCCGATTGTATACCGAGTCTACTGAGAAAAATTCAATAGCCCACATGATCTTTCAGTGATTTTCAAATTTAATATTCCCATGTTTTATGGAATAAGGATCTATACCATGGATGAGAGTGCACAAAATGGCACATAACGTATCATACGATATCGATTTATCGTCTATCTTTTTCAATCATTCTTTTGGTTTATCACCCGATCATCCTTTCTTCAATTACAATAAATGTAAAATTCTTCAATTTTACATTTATTGTAATTAAAGCATATTCGTTTAATTTCTTTAAATATCGTTATTCGAAATCTAAAGGGGCCCATCAGTGGCCAAGCGGTCTTCGTTCCCTGAACACTGGGAGTTCGGTCGTGGGTTCGCGCCTAGCTCGGACGGGCTGGCGACGTCTGTAAAGTCTAAATAGGGGCCAGTTTTCCTCAAAAAGACCTCTTGGAAGGCATTCCCCTAAGCAGATCACCCAAGTTTTGCGTTGCTATAACTTAAACAACAAACAAACATCGAAGTCTAAAACTCTGGCACCCATAAACATCTTTAAAGCTAAGTATGCTCACTATATGGCAGTCTTGAACAAAATTAAATTTCCTACTCGTTTATGATTTGAACTTTTATCACTGTGTAATTGTTTTCATAACAAAGTATTAATTTTCTTTAACTTTCCATTCTGTGGACACTAACAGGATCTCGTTTAGCAAGCCCATTATAGTTCGTACAACGTCCCCAATGGGGCGGCCGGATGGTGAGGGACAGGGCCCGATATATCTGTATCCGGATGGACCACCCTCAAAAACATTCATGGGGAAATTTCGACCCGTTCGGATTAGATCCCAATTCCCCCCAGAGCGGTAGGCTGTCACCTTGACCGCTCGGCCATCCGACCAACAAAGTATTATTGTGTTGCTTATTATGAAAAATTTCATAATGTAAGGACTCCTGTATATTAATCTTTTGATGGGACAATATTGTTTGTAAGTATATTAGCGTTTTTTAGTGGTTCACTTATTACAGTGATTTTTGTGACATAATGTCATCTACGTCGCTATCAGCTTAGTTGAGATAGAGTAGCCTATAGAGCAGTAACGGCGAACTCGTGACCTGCGCGATTTCAAGGAATTTGCATTGAAAGTTTAGAAAGTATTAGTTTTTATAAATTATAAAAAAAAATATGTTTGATAGATTTTAAAACGTTGCATATGTAATATAAAAGCAGGGACAAAATACATCAGAAAAACAAAGTAAAATTGCAAGCATTTTTTTTATATTTTTTTAAATTACTTAAATATTTAACCCACTATTTGGAATTGCTAAACTTCAAAAATTCAATTTTGACCCAACTTCGGAAAAAGGTTTGCCGTTTCTGATCTTGAGTGTAACCATTGAATTCGTATCTTACACTTTCATCACTGATATAATTTAGCCCATGAAACTATATGGTCTGTAGCGGAATGCATATACAGTGAATTTTGACAAAATTTTTGATATAAAGTATTTGCAAATGTGTTTATTTGAAGATGTGGCGATGTCAGTTTTTACCGTAATGGAAATTCTGTCTAGTCATTACGTGGTTTTTGGAACAAATATTTCACAGAGAAGGGTGAGACCTTGACGATAGTTCCGTGGCTTCATTTCCTGTCACCAACTTCACCCTGCAGAAAAATTCGAAAAAATAAAATTTCTTGTAAACATTTTTCAGCTTTAAGAACACCAATTCATTAGGAAGAATCCTCATTAATTTCTCATATGTAACGTATAACAAATTAGAGAAAGAGAACATGAAAAAGACTTTCCAAATCATCAATATAACAGGATAATGAATTAATAAAGAAAAATTAAAATTATTTGTGTTTTTTAATTTATCACTAACACGATTGAAATGTGAATTATAATCATAATCATTATAATGATTTATTTACACCAAAATCTATGCGAATGAAGAACAGACCTGTTTCAGAGCTGAAAACTCAATACATTGGAGGCCGTCTCGAATCGAACGCTTTTAATACGCCGTTAGTAAAATCGTTATAACAAGTTTTAAGCCTCGTTTAAATACTGGCTCCCTTTCATGGTCGAGCCAGTGTTGCCAGCTAAAACATGTAAAAATAATATTAAAGTAGCCAAGACATAGCCAAATATTGTAGCCCACATCATAGCGGACATTTGAATTTGCCGACTAGAACGCGGTCGGTTAACCGAGGTGACGGTTAATCGGGGTCGGATAATCGATGCTCTACTGTATTTCTATGGTTGGTTACTTTTAATATTAATATACCATCATACTCAATTTTTGTGCTTATTTCAAATTCATATTCATGAATACTTTTTTAAATATGAATACTTTAAAATTAAATATTTCATAAAAAGATTTTATGATATTTTTGTGTAATAATTCGACTCTGACTTAATGGATATTTTGATATTATTGATGACAAAAGTTTAAAATCATTGATTTCCTTATCTGTCCGATATTTTTGTTTGACAGAGTTGGATTGTTTGGATCACGTGGCGTGAAAAATTTTGTCAAGATTCTCGTGAGAATGTGACACGTGTGAAAGAGGACCACTTGAGTCATAACATTTGCACGTGCAACTATCTATATGTTGTTGATGTACACCAACATAGACCATGTGTATGTTGTGATTGGGTAAATCAAATTAGCAAGCAGTGACACTAGTGAGACTTTATTAAACTAATTTTTAAAATCATTGATTTCCTTATCTGTCCGATATTTTTGTTTGACAGAGTTGGATTGTTTGGATCACGTGGCGTGAAAAATTTTGTCAAGATTCTCGTGAGAATGTGACACGTGTGAAAGAGGACCACTTGAGTCATAACATTTGCACGTGCAACTATCTATATGTTGTTGATGTACACCAACATAGACCATGTGTATGTTGTGATTGGGTAAATCAAATTAGCAAGCAGTGACACTAGTGAGACTTTATTAAACTAATTTTTTCGTTAAGGCATGAAATATTATTTTGTACCATAAATGGTACTGAAATATTATAATGTACTCAAAATGTACTAAAAATCTAAGTGTACTTTCAATATACTCGAAAGGGCAAAATGTACTCGAAAAAGTACAAATGTACTAGGAATGGCAACTCTGCTCTCAAGTAGAATTAATGTGTCAGGTTGCTGATAGCTGGCGTTAGAGTCACTCTACGGCGAGAAGAAGTTGGTTTATATATTTGGTTACTTTTATCGCTTAAGTTTTCTGCTTGTAAGGAAAAATTGCACAGAAACAAATGATTTTTATTCAAAATTATCTAGAATAGCAAAACCTGAAATTTATGCGAATTAATTTTCTAATTTTTAACGATACAATAGTGACGATTATTATTTTAAAAAAAATTTTGTTAGGCTTAACATTGATGAAAATTCAACACGAAGTAGGTTAATAGCGATATACTATGATAATATACTAATTACATGGGATATAATATACTACACTAATAATGGATTTTTTCATACTTTTCGGTTATCCGACTTTTCAATTATCCGACCAACTCCAGTCCCTAATTGAGTCGGATAATCGATGCTCTACTGTAGTACATTTTGAAGGAACATAGTACAATTTTTGAAGGAGCTTCAGTACGTTTTGAAATTTCATTGTGGCAACGTTGCTTGAGAGCATAGCTATAGTCGATAGATATACTGGTCCTTGCTTTAAAAGGTTTTAAATAGATCTGTTTAAAACTATTAAAACTAATACTGTATCTCAAATACTATAGTAGAGATAACAGACTTATAGCACTGCTACTGGTAACATAAAAACGACACTTCTATCATCAGAATGCAATCTTCTATGATTTTAATGTTACCAGTAGCTTTGTGATAAGTCTCTGTGTCGGGGCCGAGGAGGGAGAAAAAAACTCAATGAACGATAATATGTGATATATATCGTCATCGTCTCCCTTGCCGTTTGGTCTGCCGAGTGGTAACAATCAACGACATGTGGAAGCAGTTGAGTCAGAGATAGATGCTTCGTTTACAAACAACACAACCGTTTATTAAACACGAAAGAAGCTTACAAGCTTTCCGCGATCTTGGAAGTTCTGCGGCGGCTGCGGCCTCTGGGTCTTCCTCTCCTTTCCAAGGTAGTCCCATTTTGAAGGAGTGTCCCTTGTTCGCGAATGAATCATTCCATCACGTCTTGACGACTCCGGGACGATGCGGTCGACTTCCTTTGATGGAAAGATGTCGATCCGAGGTCGGGAGATGGAGACAAAGATGGGTGCGAGACACACACACACAACAACAGGTCCGTCACTTGGAACTTTCGGGAGAAGAAGCCGTCGCGTCCTTGAAT